TAATCGTAGTAGTAGCAGTAGCAGTAGTAGTAGTGGTAGTAGTAGTAGTAGTAGTAGTAGTGGCCGTAGTAGTAGTAGTAGTAGTAGTATTAGTAGTAGTAGTAGTAGTAGTAGTAGTAGTAAGAGGAGTAGTAGGAGTAGTAGTAGTAGTGATTGTAGTAGTAGTAGTCGTAATATGAGTAGAAGTAGTAGTCATAGTAGTAGTAGTAGCAGTAGCGGTAGTAGTAGTAGTAGTAGTAGTAGTAGTAGTAGTAGTATTCGGAGTAGTAGTAGTAGTAGTAGCAGTTTTCGTAGTAGTAGTAATACTACTACTACTACTACTACTACTACGAATACTACTACTACTACTACTACTAGTAATAGTAGTAGTCGTAGTAGTAATAGTTGTAGTATCCGTAGCATATCTATTAAGGTAATAGTACCAGGAATAGTAGCAGGAAAAGTAGTAGTAGTAGTAGTAGTAGTAGTAGTAGTAGTAGTAGTAGTAGTAGTGGTAGTCGTAGTAATAGTAGTAGTAGCAGTAGTAGTAGTAGTAGTAGTAGTAGTAGTGATAGTAATAGTTGTAGCCGTAGTATTAGTAGGAGTAGTAGTAGTAGTCGTAGTAGTAGAAGTACTTGTGCAGGGTGTAGTAGTATTAGTAGTGGTATTAGTAGTAGTAGTAGTACACACCGTACTATTAGTAACCGTACTTGTGGACGGTATAGTAGTGCAAGTAGTAGGGGTTGTAATAGTAGTAGTAGCAGTAGTAGTAGTGGTAGTCGTAGTAGTAGTAGTAGTGCGAATAGGAATAGTAGGAGCAGTACGACTAGAAGTAGGGGTAGTAGTAGTAGTAGGACTAGTAGTAGTAGCAGTACCAGTAGCAGTAGCAGTAGCAGCAGTAGTAGTAGTAGTAGTAGTAGTAGTCGTCGCAGTCGTAGTACTAGTGGTCGTAGCACAAGAAGTAGTAGTAGTAGTAGTAGTAGTAGTAGAAGCAGTAGTAGTAGTAGTAGTAGTAGTGGTACTACTAGTAGTAGTAGTAGTAGGTAGTAGTAGTAGTAGTAGTAGTAGCAGCCGTAGTCTTAGTGGTAGTAGTAGTCGTAGTTTCAATCTTTCTAGTAGTTTTACTATTCGCATCAGTAGTCGTAATTGTAAAAAAAGCAATAGGTCGTACTAGCAACATTAGTAGTAAACGTACCAACTCACAGCGCCAACGACATTAAAACCACAACTAAAGTGAGACGATCCAGAACGACAGTAGTTGCAGCAGCAGACATACACGTAGCCGAAGTTCTACTCGTATTAGTAGGGCCAGGTGCCAGTAGTATGTGTAGTACTTACTGTTTACGGTGGCAAGTGTAGGAATACATGCGTTCTGCTATTATATGTCCCGTTGGCCGAACATGAGCAGCACCGCGTGGGGTATACCGTGCCGACTTCACGAATGCAAGAGGCTCACAGAACCTTGCAGAATCTCTCAGAGCCTCTCAGAGGCTGTCAGAAACTTGCAGCATCGTTCAGAGGCTCTCAGAGTCGATCAGAACCTTGCAGAATCTCTCAGAGGCTCTCAGAAACTGGCAGAATCTTTCAGAGGCTCTCAGAACATTGCACAATCTCTCCGAAGCTCTCAGAGGCTCTCAGAACCTTGCAGAATCTCAGAGGCTCTCAGAGGCTCTCAGAACCTTGCAGAATTTTTCAGAGTCTTTCAGAACCTTGCAGGATCTCTCAGAGGCTCTCAGAGGCTTTCAGAACCTTGCATAATCAATCAGAGGCTTCAGAACCTTGCAGAATCTTTCAGAGGCTTTCAGAACCTTGCAGAATCTTTCAGAGGCTCTCAGAGGTTCTCAGAACCTTGCAGAATCTTTCAGAGGCTCTCAGAACCTTGCAGAATCTCTCAGAGGCTTTCAGAGGCTCTCAGAACCTTGCAGAATCTCTCAGAGACTCTCAAAGGCTTTCAGAACCTTGCAGATTTTCTCAGAGCTCTCCGAGGCTTTCAGATGCTCTCAGAACCTTGCAGAATCTTTCAGAGGCTCTCAATGGCTCTCAGAACCTTGCAGAATCTTTCAGAGGCTCTCAGAGTCTCTCAGAACCTTGCAGAACCTTGCAGAGGCTTTCAGAGGCTTTCAGAACCTTGCAGAGGCTCTCAGAGGCTCTCAGAACCTTGCAGAATCCCTCAGAGGCTCTCAGAGTCTCGCAGAACCTTGCAGAATCTCTCAGAGGCTCTCAGAGGCTCTCAGAACCTTGCAGCGGCTTTCAGAGGCTCTCAGAGGCTTCAGAACCTTGCAGAGGCTCGGAGTTTTCCGGAGGCTTCAAAATGGTTGGGATCTCACCCGTCCCACGTGTCCTTGACGGTAGGGATCTGAACTGTCCGGTTGGGATCCGAACCGTCCGGTTGGGATCTGGACCGTTCTCGTTCGTGGCCGTTTTGTGGGGATGTCTCAAGCGGTTTGCCTGTTTTGTGTCCCAACACCCTTCGCTTTCGCAGCAGATATGGAAAATGTTTCGAGCGAAGCGCTCATTCCCACATCCCTAAGCGGAGCCGCCGAGGTGTCTTGCACGGTCCTTTTTGATGCCGTTTTGCGGGGATGTCTCAAGCGGTTTCCCTGTGCCTCTGTCCCAACATCCTTCGTTTCCGGAGCAGATTGGGAGGATGTTTCGAGCGAGGCGTTGATTTTCACGTCCCTGAGGGGAGCCACCGAGGGGTATTGCACGGTCCTGTTCGTGGCCGTTTTGTCGGGATGTCTCAAGCGTTGTGTTTGTTTTTCGTCCCAGCATCCTTCGCTTTCGGAACATATTTGGAGGACGTCTCGAGCGAGGCGCTCTTTTCCACGTCCCTAAGGGGAGCCGCCGAGGGGTATTGCACGGTCCCGTTCGCTGCCGTCGTGTGGGGATGTCTCAAGCGGTGTGCCTGTTTTCTGTCCCAACATCCTTCGCTTTCAAAGCAGATTTGGAGGATGTCTCGAGCGAGGCGCTCATTTTCACGTCCCTAAGGGGAGCCGCCGAGGGGTATTGCACGGTCCTGTTCGCGGCTGTTTTGTGGGGATGTCTCAAGCGGTGTGCCTGTTTTCTGTCCCAACATCCTTCGCTTTCGGAGTAGATTTGGAGGATGTTTCGAGCGAGGCGTTGATTTCCACGTCCCTAAGGGGAGCCGCCGAGGGGTATTGCACGGTCCTGTTCGCGGCTGTTTTGTGGGGATGTCTCAAGCGGTGTGCTTGTTTTCTGTCCCAACATCCTTCGCTTTCAAAGCAGATTTGGAGGATGTCTCGATCGAGGCGCTCTTTTCCACGTCCCTAAGGGGAGCCGCCGAGGGGTAGGAAGCCACAGGAGGCCCCAGGAGGCCAGAGGAAGCGCCAGGAGGCCTCGGAAGGCAACAGGAGGCCCCGAGAGGCCCTGGGAGCAGGAGGCCTCAGAAGGCAACAGGGGTGGCTCCCATCCCATGTGTTTGACGTATGCTCCTATAGATTGGGCCTCACTTGGAGCACGAATCCTTGATGTTATACGTATGATTATATAGATTGTCCTTCTCCTGTGTACTTATGGTTGTATAGGGCCTCTCCTGGGGCTCGAGTCCTTGGTGTTTTACGCGTGTTCCTATAGATTGCTTCCTTCTCTTGCGGCTCCAATCCGCAATGTTTTATATACGCCTGTTGCTATAGATTGGGCCTCTCCTGGGGCACGAATCCTCCCTAGGAGGTCCCAGGAGGCCCCAGAGGCCCCAAGAGGCTCCTGGAGGCCCCAGGAAGCCCCAGTAGGTTTCAGGAGGCCCCAGGAGGCCCCAGGAGGACCCAGGCTCATGCGCAGAGACGCGCTCGTACTAGTGAGGCTCATTCACACTCCAATTCATTCTCAGTCAGATTCATGACCAGACCGTCACAACTGAAGCCCGTTCATATTCGAAAGCTCTTGCGCCTAGACACTCACGGTGGACAGGTCCATGCGAATAGACACAAGCTTACTCATACTCAGACCTACTCATACTCAGATCTACTCCTACTCAGACTTATTCATGCTGAGACTCACTCATACCCAGACTAACTCATACTCAGAATTGCGGGGCGCTGGTTTCAGCACCCCTAATGGGAGCCGCCAAGGATGATTTCACGGTCCCGTTCGCGGCCGTTTTGTGGGGATGTCTCAAGCGGTTTGATTGTTTTCTGTCTCAACATCATTGGCTACCAGAGTAGATTGTGCGGATGTCTCAGGCGGGGCGCTGGTTTCAGCAACCCTAGGGGGAGCCGCCAAGGGTGTTTTCAAGGCTCCGTTCGTGGCCGTTCTGTCGGGATGTCTCAACATGATATTCGCATGTTGCGTTGCATGGTTAGACGCGCATTTCCAGATCCCACTGACAATTATCGTTTCTGTTAAAAAATAAGATGCACATATGGGGATCTCCATGCAGTGAGTAATTTCGGGTGGTGCATAATGGGCTTGTTTTCCACCACCACCACCATAAGTTGGAGGGGGAGTGGGTCCTCCTCCTCCTCCTCCACCTCCTTCCCCCCTCCAACTTACGGTGGTGGTGGTGGAAAACAGACCCATCAGTGCACGCCCCAGCTTATGGGTGCTTCGTGCGTTCGCCCGCGTTTCCGGATGTTTCGGTCGATGCCCGCCGGTGGCGATGAGCGTCGCTACTGGATGCACACAAAGATTGTGCCACATGCTTGTTGCATTTCGCCACAGATGTTACCATATGTCTTGCCGCCGACAGATTGCGCCACTCGATTGCACCACATAGATTGCAGCACATAAGTTGCATCACATAGCTTGCGCCACATAGCTTGCACCACATAGGTTGCAGAGGTCACCATTCTGACTGCACAGGCACATGTATAAAAAGGGCACGTCTACATATTGCAACACATCGGCTGCACTGCACGCAGGCGGTACCACAGCTGTTGCACATCGAGAGTGCAACACATGCGTTGTTTTGAGGCCCCTGCGGGCAAACATGCGTTCAGGGACATTCAGCTCGAAGTGCCCGACGGCAGTGCCAGAGGTGTCCCTGCCCCCGCGGCGGCGCGCAGGCCGCTGCCGCGCGGTGATGCAGCCGCGGAGTCTGAGTCGGGGCGCGGCCACGCGCCGAGGGCAAGGGCGCGGCGCCGCAACTCTTCTCGCATCACATTTTCGCAGGCCTGGAGGTTGACACCAACACCAAGATCGGCGGTGTGCCTCCACCGAGGGAAGGCGATCCCGATGTCGGTGATGGTGGTAATCTTCTGGCTTCCGAGGTGACCGAACTATTGCCACCAACCCCGAAGTCTAGGATCACCGTCCTCATATGGAGGCAACCCCCTGTGCTGGTGTTGGTGCCAATTTCCAGGCCTCCAATATTTGGGTGGGTGGGTGTTGGGGGGGGGGGGGCAGCGCGCCAGAGAGCGCGTGAGCCCCAGGTTGGCCAGGGTGCGGTGCAGAGGTGCGCGCTCGCGCGCGCATCCTGATGCGGTCGGACCGGGGCAGCATAGGATCGAGGCCGGCTCGGGAAGGGCACCCCAGCGTTCTTCGTGTCTGCTGCATGCGATGCTGCATCTTGGGGAGGGTACCCCGAGTATGATTCGTTTTGTCAGGCGGAGGGCTTCATGCTCTTGAAGGATGTTCTTATGTCTTTGGTCCAGCTGTAGGGGTGGGGGGCTGCCAGAACACCGCTCGAACTCCGAAAATTCGCAGGGCCGAACCCGAAATCCCGACGGGGGCGAAACCCACAATTCAGGAGTCCAAACCTTAAACCATCAGGAGGGGTGAGACTTGAGGCGGGACGAGGTAGTAGGAAGGAGGAGGGAGACGAATGCTGGTGGTTTTCGAGATTCCTGAGGTGGGGCGGGGGAGGATTCCACTGTTTTCTTCGATGGTCCAGGGGGGGGTCGGCAGCCTCGCGGAAGGGTCCAGAGAAGGGTTCTTGGAGTTCTATATGGTTTGCGCATCCCGAGGATCCCCAAGGAGGCAGGACGAGGTAGTAGGAGGCAGAAGGAGGTACGAGGAGTGGGAGGGGGCAGGAGATGGTAGCAGGGACGAGGGGGTGGGACGAGCCAGGGTACAGATGGAGGAGGCTGGTGGACGTAGGAGGAGGTCGGACACGTCAGACGGAGATAAGAAACCTACGAGGGCAACCGAGAGGGTAGCAGGGCGCACGCGGATTTCTTGGGCTTATCGGGTTCTGGGTAGCGCGTCGGCGAGTAGTGTGTTCCATCGGGTACTGTAGCGTGGTTCGCTTGTGGTTTTTGCGGTTTGGGCGGTTATTCAGGAGATCTTCTTTGGTGTTTGCTAGCTTGTCGTTGCCCTGTTGCGAAAGGAGTGGCGGTGTATTTGTTCCCGCCCCGCGGCGTTGCCACGTGGCGAATCGAATGGAATGAGTGTTTTCGCTTGGCACGCGTTGCCACATGCCGAGTCGACTATTTGTTCGCTCCCCATGTTGTTGCCGCGTAGCGAGTGGAGTGGGATGGTGCTTCAGTTGCCTCCCGGGCCTTGCCGCGTGACGTTGCCACGTGACGAGCAGGGTGGAGCAGCATGCGGTCCTGGCCCGCTTCGCTGCCACGTGCCCAGGCGCTGCCACGTGTAGAGCACAGTGCAGTAGTATTGTGAAGGCCTTGCGGCGGGTGCCGCCGACCCAGAAAACGACCACGACCACGACCAGGACAACGACCACGACCACGACCAGGACCACGACCACGACCACGACCACGACCACGACCACCACGGCCACGACGACCACGACGACGACGAGCTGAGGGCCCTGCCACAGGCTTGGGACGTGGGGCGGTTGACGCGACGCGCGGCTTCGCGAGGTGCGTGCTCGAGGAGGGCCTGGCGGATCAAGCACAAAGGGGGATAGGCGGCCAGCGGCGGCAGCAGAACGAGAGCGCCCGCCTGGCCCACGACCTCGACAATGGGGCGGACGGTGGAGGGAGGAGAAAGAGGAGGAGGAGGAGGAGGAGGAGGAGGAGGAGGAGGAGAGCCGTGCAGGAGAGGGAGATGACGGTGGCAACAAGGGAAGCACAGAGGCATGGCGGAGGCGTGAGGGAGGAAGGGGAGGAGTTGGGGAGGCCAGGGAGTTCGACATGATGGAAATGGGATGGGTACAAGCTTAATAATCATATTCAGCCATCGAGAGTGAAAGCCTACAAGAGGGGGGACAATCATCATCGTCGCCCTGACTGGCACGGGCGCGGCAGTTGATGCCATCAGTTCCCTTCATGATCCATACACCCCTGACCTTCCACCCGGAGAGAATATCCCACGAGTTGAGTAGCACACCTGCGCGAGGCCATTCGTGATCGGACGTGCCATTCACAAGCACGCACGCACGCACGCGCACACAAATACACACACACACACGCGCGCGCGCGCGTGCACACCTCTTGTCTGCGAGTCTGCGGACGCTGCAAGCGAGGATGATGTGTCACGCGCGGCGGAGGCACGAGCTGTTATTCATTGTTTTGCCAATCGGCGCGGGCCCCCAAAACCCCTTTCCCCCCCCTTCATGGAGTAGATCTCGGCTGTCTTGTTGGCGCCTGCCTCGAGCGGGTGGAGTCTCCCCCAGAGGCTGAGGCTTGGAGCCAGAGCCATCCCCCCTCCCCCCCCCAGACATCTGACGTCTCGATTTTTTCGAGACACGGCCCCCCGACCTCCCGACCACTTCCCCGGGACCGGTTTTCCATCCCGAGTCGTTTTTTGACGGCCCCGAGGCCTGGTGAGGGCCTCGAGAGGCCGAACATTTGGAAAAACTTCCGTCTCGATTTCTTCGAGACGCCCGATGCTTGGGCCCCCCCTTTCTGCCCAGTGCCGAAACGCCGACCAACAAAAAACACTCGCAAGGGGGGGATGCAGGGCAGCCGCGGACGCGGCAATAGAGCTTCCCACCCGGGCGCGGCGGGCGGCCAGGGCGGCGGGGACCGCCGGCCCGGGTGCACGAACGAGCCGGGCTTCGGTACCGACCTCCTCCCTCCTCCCTCCTCGATCCTCCCTCCCTCCCTCCCTCCCTCCCTCCCTCATCCTCCCTCCCTCCCTCCTCCCTCCTCCCTTCTCCCTCCTCCCTCCCTCCCTCCCCTCCCTCCCTCCTCCTTCCGCCCTCGATCCTTGCCGCCAGAAGTCCTGAGCAGAAGGGCGGGGACACCATGCGGGGGCAGCGCGACCAGTGAGACCATGCGGCCCCAGGCCAGGCGAGACCGCAGCGAGGCGACCGACGCGAGGTGCAACCCCCAGGCCCGGCGAAACCGCAACAAGGCGACTGACGCGAGGAACCAAGCAGAGTGGGGAATGCTTCCCTCGGGTTCTGCCGTGCTCCCTCGAAGTCTGGCGTTCCTCCCAGGGTCGGTTGCTTCCCCTGAAGGTATGGACTCCCCTCAGGGCTGGCGCTCGCACTCGGGATCCTGCGTTCTCACCGAGCCTCGTCGATGCAAGTGGCTTCAGCAGGATGGGGGCACTCTGTAGCGGCAGTACCACCCGGATATCAGATATCACTTCGGCCACCGGCCCCGGGCGGCTCCCACATCAGGCGGCCACCTCGCGCATTCCAGCAAGATGCGTGCTGTCCCAGGTCCTCCTCCTCCGTGGCTGGTGCTTCGAGCGTAGGAGTCCTCTTTTCCCTCGGCGGGGAAGCCGCCATGCTTCATCCTCAGCGCATTGCGTTCGTGGGGACAAGGTGCGGTGCGTCCCGTCCCCGCCAGGCGACGCCAGCGGGGAGTGACCTCCGCAGGCGCGCGCCTCCTCGAGAGCGGCGCCCACCACGGGCACCTGCAGAGCGCCCCCCCTCGGGCAGCACCTGCCAGGCGCACGAGCCTTACGTCGGGCCTGTCCCTCTACAGGGGGAACTTTCAAAAATAGTTAAAACATAGTCTTGGGACGATTTCTTGACCATCTTTGAATATTTTTGTCTGTGTTTTTTGTTTGCCTATTTCTCTTCTTCGTCCAACATCGGCCTGTAGGGCGACAGGCCCGACTTAACACGAGCCCCCGAGAGCACCCTGCAGGGCAACGGGCCCCCGGCGAGCAGCCCCCTGCAGGGCAGTGGCGCTCCCCCCCCCCCCCCGGGGGGCAGGGCACCCGCCCTCGAGCCGCACGGCCCCGGGCCGCCGCTCCTCCTCGGGGCCCGGCGGTCTCCCTCGGGACCGGGCTCCCCCCGTCAGGGTCAGGATCTCGGGCGGCCGCCTTCGAGGAGGAGGGGGAGGAGGGGGAGGAGGAGGAGGAGGAGGAGGAGGAGGAGGAGGAGGAGGAGGAGGAGGAGGAGGAGGAGGAGGAGGAGGAGGAGGAGGAGGAGGAGGGTAGGTAGGTAGGTAGGTAGGTAGGTAGGTAGGTAGGTAGGTAGGTAGGTAGGTAGGTAGGTGTCCTCCCGTAGAGGATTGTATTTTGGGCCCTCGGGCTCGGGTCCTTTGGCAGAGAGTTGCAGGGTCGGGACGGCGACTGCTTCGACTCCGCGACGTCCGCCCAGGGAAAGGGCGGGCTCAGTCATGCGTGCAGGGGGGGAGGAGGGGGGGCGGGGGGGCAGCCCACGGCTGCCCGGCCCGCTCCAGCCCGCCTCCGATCCCCTGCCTGCACAAAAGAGACCGCGCCTTTGCCCGAAAAGCGAACGCGGTGGGGAAGAGGAGGGGAAGGCCTGGGGAGAGGCTCCTTTCGGGGACCTCTCCGGCAGGGGCCCCCGCCCGGACCCCCGGCCGCCTCATGTCGACGCAATACGCAACTGCGGGACTAGGAGTACGGAGGGAGTGGGGGCCACCCCTGGAGACAAGAAGGATTTCGGACTCCCGTGGCCCTGCCCAAAAGGCTGCCTCCTCCTTCTCGAGGAAGACCGCCAGCGCAGCCGCCCCTGCATATCCTGCATCGCCCGGTCGCACAGACAGGGCCGCCCTGGCGTTGGACTCCTTGTCGGGCGGCGCATCCGTTCTTCTCGCGTGCCAGAAAGCTTGCCTGAGAGGGCCGGTCTTCGCGCAAGCTGCGAGCACATGCATTGTGGGGCTGTGGGTGATGGTGCCGCAGCAGATGCACTGCTGGCGACTGGCCCACGAGCGTGCCCCCCCTACATGGGTGAAACGCACCAGGCGGAGGCGAAGGC